AGCATGCCGCTGTTGATGTCGTCCAGACGGCTCCAGAACTGGTGATTGTGGTCGGTCATCCTGCGATCCTTTCGTGCCGCATCAGGCGGCGATCGCGGGATAAACAACGATCCGCGGGACCGGGTTCCCCCATCCCGCGGGACCGACGTCAGACCGCGACGTTGTCCGAATGGACCGGATCGTTGACGCCGCAATCGGCGGCCGCGCCGCCTGCCCGACGCTTGCGACGCGGCTTGACGCTATCCGGCAGGGCTGCGTTTTCGTCAATGAAGTCAAGAACCAGCGGGCGTATGTTCAGGCGCCATGACTTGCCTGCAAAGATGCCGTAATGGCCGGCGCCCGGTTCCAGATGCTGAACCTTCCTGGCGTCGGGCACACCGGTGCACAGGTCCAGCGCCGCGACGCATTGGCCCGGCGCCGAGATGTCGTCATTCGCCCCCTCGACCGTCATCACGGCGACATCGGTGATCTTGCCGATATCGACGGGACGGCCGTCGATGGTGAAGCGGTTCTGCGCGATCTCAAGGTTCTTGAAGATGCGTTCGACGGTCGACAGGTAGAATTCGGCCGTCATGTCCATGACCGCCAGGTATTCGTCATAGAACTTGTTGTGCTTGTCGCCTTCGCTGGCGGTGCCGCGCGCCTCGGCATAGATCTGTTCGATGAAGGCGCGGGTATGGGTCTGCATGTTCATGGTGATGAACGACGACAGCTGCGCCAGCCCGGGATAGACCATGCGCCCGGCACCGCGATACTTGAAGCCCACGGACTGGATCGCCAGATGCTCCAGTTCACCCATGGTGATGCGGTTGCCGAAATCGGTGACCTCGGTCGCGGCGGCGTCGGGGTCGACGGGGCCGCCGATCAGGGTCAGGGTGCGCGGCTGTGCGGCCGGCTCCTCCTCCGCCAGGATGGCGGTCGCGACCAAGGCCAGGGGCGCCGGCTGACACACAGCGATGACATTCACGTCGGGACCCAGGTGGCGGATGAAGTCGACCAGATAGCGGGTATAATCCTCGACGTCGAACTTGCCCTCGCTGACCGGAATGTCGCGGGCATTGTGCCAATCGGTCACGTAGAGTTCGCAATCGTTCAGAAGCGACAGCACGGTCGAGCGCATCAGGGTCGCATAGTGACCCGACATCGGCGCGACCAGCAGGACCTTGCGGGGCAAGGGGTCGCGACGGGCGACGCGGAAATGGATCAGGTCGCCGAAGGCCCGGCGCAGGACCGGCTCGACATAGACGACGTGGTCCTGCCCGTCCTCTCCAGCGATGGGGGGGATCTCCCAGTCGGGCTTGATCACCATGCGTGCGAAGCTGCGTTCGGTGACACGGCCCCAGGCCCCCAGCATCCGGAACGCGGGATGCGGGACCAAGGCGAAGGCGGGATAGGCCCCGATCGCGCGGGCGGTCGCGCCCATCCATTCGTTCGTGTTCCGAATCGTCTCCATCGCGTCATAGGACACGATGCCGCGAAGACCTTTGACCGACATGTAACCCCACAATTGCTGCGCCGCGGCACATGATCTGCGCGCGACGGGGCGGCGGGAACGGGGTCAGAAGCCGGGTTTACGCCTTGCCTGCCCTGCGCATATCATAACCGTATAAGTAGGGGGGATTACGGATCATGGCAAGACAGCCGGACAAGACGGGTAAAAATGTTGCCAAATCACGTGCGAAACCGGCAACAACCGCAAAGGCGCGCGCGAAGCCCAAGCCCCAGGCCAGGACCCCGGAGGTCGAGGTGAAGGCGCCTCAGGCCAAGGTGGAGGCCGCCGAACCCAAGATCGAGACGCCGCGGGTCGAGGTCACGTCGCCGGAGGCCAAAGCTAAGGCCGCGGCGCCCAAGCCCGCCCCCGCCGCCCACAAGCTGGCCGAGAACATCGAGCGGATCGAGACCCTGGGTCACCGCCTGATGGCCGCGCTGGCCGATCGCAACCTGCCCAACCCCGGCGTCGAGGGGCCGGGTGCCGAGCTGTACCTGACCGCCGCGAACGCGTTCCTGAAGACGCTGGCGGAACATCCCGCCAAGATGATCGAGACGCAGGTCACCTTCTGGGGACAGACCCTGTCGAACTATGCCCGCGCGCAGAAGGCGCTGGCCACCGGGCAGCTGACCGCCCCCGAGGATGACAGCCCCGCCGATCGCCGCTTTGCCAACCCGCTGTGGCAGACCCATCCCTATTTCAACCTGATCAAGAAGCAGTACTTGACCAATGCGCGCGCGCTGAAGGATGCGACGGCAACGCTGGATCTGCCCGACGATGTGACCCGCAAGCGTGTCCACTGGATGACCGCGCAGATCATCGACATGATGGCGCCCACCAACTTTCTTGCTACCAATCCCGACGCGCTGGAGAAGGCCGTCGAGACCGAGGGCGAAAGCCTGGTCAAGGGGCTGGAGAACCTGGTCCGCGATGTCGAGCAGCATGGCGGAGAGATGATCGTGTCCCTGGCCGATCGCCGCGCCTTCACGGTCGGAGAGAACATCGGCACCGCGCCCGGCACCGTCGTCTATCGCGCGCCGCTGTTCGAGCTGATCCAGTACGCGCCCACGACGCCCAAGGCGCATACGCTGCCCCTGGTGATCTTTCCGCCCTGGATCAACAAGTTCTACATTCTGGACCTGAAGCCCCAGAACAGTCTGATCCGCTGGCTGGTGGACCAGGGCCAGACGCTGTTCGTCGTCAGTTGGAAGAACCCCGATGCCAGCCTGTCCGACACCGGCATGGAGGAGTACGTTCAGGCCTATCTGGACGCGATGGACCAGGTGCAGGCCCTGACGGGACAGGCGCGGCTGAACGCGGTCGGCTATTGCATCGCGGGCACCACGCTGTCGCTGACGCTGGCGCTGCTGAAGCAGAAGGGCGATCGCCGCGTGAACTCGGCCACGCTGCTGACCACGCTGACGGACTTTTCCGACCAGGGCGAATTCACCAGCTTCCTGCAGGACGATTTCGTCGGCGGCATCGAGGCCGAGGTCCAGCGCCACGGCCTGCTGCGGGCGCAGCTGATGTCGCGCACCATGAGCTTCCTGCGCGCCAACGACCTGGTCTGGGGCCCTGCCATCCGCAGCTACATGATGGGAGAGACGCCGCCGGCCTTCGATCTGCTGTTCTGGAACGGCGACAGCACGAACCTGCCCGGGCGCATGGCGATACAGTACCTGCGCGGCCTGTGCCAGAAGAACGCCTTTGCCGAGGAGGGGTTCGAACTGCTGGGCCACCGCCTGCACCTGTCCGACGTCACGGTGCCACTGTGTTCGGTCGCCTGCGAGGGTGACCACATCGCACCCTGGAAGGATTGCTGGCGCGGGGTGGCGCAGATGGGATCGAAGGACAAGACCTTCATCCTGTCGCAGTCGGGGCATGTGGCGGGCATCGTGAACCCGCCCACGCGGCAGAAATACGGGCACTATCTCAGCGATCACGGCTTTGGCGGCACGCATCAGGACTGGAAGGACGCGGCGGCGTTCCAGCAGTCCAGCTGGTGGCCGACCTGGGGCGCATGGCTGGCCGAGCGGGCCGGTCCGATGGTGCCCGCCCGCGACCCCGGAGCGGGTCTTGATCCCGCCCCCGGCCGCTATGTCCACGAGCGCGCAGGCTGAAGCGGGGCTGGCGCACGGGACTTTCCAAGGGCTTGCGCCGGCCCGCTGGATTTTCGCCGCGCCGCAGAAAAAATACTTGAAATGCTGCGGTGCAGCATTCATATTGGTGGCATGGAATGGATCGCAGCGACCCGTTCCCTCTGTCTCTCGGTCGCTGCATCACAGGAGTGAACGACATGGCAAAGACCCCCGATATGACCAAGACGATGCAGGACATGATGGCGAACTTTCCCATCGACACCAGCTCGATGCAGGACGCGATGAAGTCGCAGTCGATGATGGGCGAGAAGCTGGCCCGCGTCGCGCTGAGCGCCGCCGAGCGTTCGACCGAGATCTCGGCCCGCTGGGCCAAGGACTCGATCTCGCGCATGGGCGAGCTGGCTGCCGTCAAGCAGGACCCGTCCGAATACGCCAAGGCCATGAGCGATTTCGCCTCGGCCGCAGCCGAAATGGCCGCCGAGCACATGGCTGCCTATGCCGAAGTCGCCAAGAAGGTCCAGATGGACACCGTCGACCTGATGCTGACCGCCGGCAAGGACATGGCGTCGGATGCGCAGAAGGTGGCCGAAAAGGCCGCCCGCGACACCCAGACTGCCGTCAAGAAGGCCGCCACGGCGACCGCCGACAAGTGATCGCCTGATCACCGGAACCGATGGGGCAGGGGCGACTTCGGTCGCCCCTGTTCGCATTTGCGCGCCGAGGCTTTTTCCTTTGCGTTTTGCGGGTGCAGAATTCATCATGGCGGCCAGGATGAATTCAAGGAACCCAGGATGGCCGCATCGACTGCGCCGCTGCTGATCAAGCGTTATGCCAGCCGCCGCCTCTACAACACGCAGACCAGCGACTATGTTACGCTGGAGGATATCGCGGGCTTCATCCGCGATGGCCGCGAGGTCAAGATCATCGACCTGAAGTCGGGAGACGATCTGACCCGCCAGTACCTGCTGCAGATCATCGCCGAACATGAAAGCCGGGGCGAAAGCGTCCTGCCGCTGGACGTTCTGACTGACCTGGTGCGCAGCTATACGACCAACGCGCAATCGGTCGTCCCGCAGTTCCTTGCCGCCAGCTTCGAGATGCTGCGCGAGGGACAGTCCAAGCTGATGGAGAACATGGCGGCGATGCCCAATCCCATGGCCACGATGCCGGGATTCGACGCGCTGCAGCGCCAGCAGCAGATGTTTCTCAAGGCCATGATGGGCGGCTGGCGCGGCGGCGCCTCGGGCCCCGAACGCGAGGATGGCACGCCCGCGCCCCCCGCCGGCCCCGCAACCCCCGAGGACGAGCGCGACATGGCCGAGATCCGTCGCCAGCTTGCCGAACTGCAAAAGCGCGTTTCCAAGCTGTGATCCCCTTGCACCGCGCCGTGCGTCGGGCTAGACCCGCCTCACGGAGCGGTGGCCGAGTGGTCGAAGGCGCACGCCTGGAAAGTGTGTAGGCGGGAGACCGTCTCGAGGGTTCGAATCCCTCTCGCTCCGCCAAATGCCCTTAACGAACATGTTTCTAAGTCCGGCTGCAGCCGGACTTTCTCGTTGTATTCAGGGGTTATAGATTGGGAGGTCTTCACCGGTCCCGGCGCAGATAGGCTCTATTTTGCTCTCTAGCCGCCGCGTTTCTCTAAAGCTGATGAGTGCGTTGAAACGGTGTTCAGCCTGCAATGAGCTGAAAGCATACGATCTTTTTCAACTCTTTTTTTGGCATTCGATATGAGGGCCTTCTGAGGCCAAAGGATCTGTGGCCTGCCCCTATCGGGTGGTCCGGTTTCAGTCTTAGTGCATTACGGGTCTTGGCGCTACAGCTGGGGTGGCCGGCGAAGCGGCTCCGGATGGCAAAGCCGGCCACTGGATGGCCTCGGGAACTGGCGGGCAATACCCTAGTGATGAGTGCAGGCACTTGGTGTCGTAATGGCGGCACCAGCGTTCGATGATAATCTTCGCATCAGCGAGGCTGCAGAAGATCTCCCCGTTCAGCAGCTCGTCGCGGAGGTTGGAATTGAAGCTCTCACAGTAACCGTTCTCCCAAGGAGGCCCCCGGCTCGATGTAGGCGGCCTTCGCGCCGACGGCGATGATCCATTCCCGCACCGCCTTGGCGATGAACTTCAGGCCATTGTCGGACCGTATATGATCCGGCACGCCGCGCAGGATGAAGAGATCGGACAAGACGTCGATGACGTTGGTCGATCGGAGCCTCCGGTCGACCCGGATTACCAGGTACTCCCGGCTGAACTCTCGTCTATAAGATTGAGCATGCGGAACTTCTTTCCATCGTGGGTCCGGGCCTCGACGAAGTCGTAGGACCAGACATAATTCGAACGCTTTGGCCGCAGACGGATGCATAACCCGTCGTTCAGCCAGAGCCGACCCTTCTTTGATTGCTTTCGTGGCACTTTCAGCCCCTCCCGCCGCCAGATGCGCTCGACCCGTTTCACGTTCACCGCCCAACCGGCCTCGCGCAGAAGGGCGTCGTCGGTGGTCGCTCGGACCAGTGGCGCAACCACCGGCAACTCCGGCAGTATCCGTAGCGCCCATATTGCGAGGCGAGCCCGATGATGTCGGCCGTCCGGGCGTCTTCATTGGCCCGTTCGCTCGGCACTCTCCGCTGTGTCGAGCGATGCTGCCCGAGCATGCGACAGGCGAGCGGTTCCGAGATCCGGAGCTTCTGCCTGACATGCTCGATGCATGCACAGCGGCGGGCGGGGCTCAGAAGTGTCCCGATGCCACCTCCCCAAGGATGAGCTTCTCGAGCGTCAGGTCAGAGACGGCCTTCCGGAGCCGCTCGTTCTCCTTCTCCAGCTCCTTCAGTCGCTTCACTTGGTCGGTTTTCAGCCCTCCGCACTCCCTGCGCCACCGATAGTAGGTGAACTGCGTCCGCTGATCGACCGCACGGCTTCGGCCACCGACTGGCCTTGCGACACCAACACGTCAACCTGCCGGAGCTTGGCGACGATCTCCTCCGGCTTGTGTTTCTTCTGGAGCATTCCTGCATCCTCCAAATGGCTCAAAATCTATACCTCAGGGAGGAACACTTTTCAGGGGGCAGACCAGCCGATGGCCAATGCATGCTCGCGCAGGATCCGTGCGCCGATTGCATGGAACGTGCCGGACCAACAAAGGGCCTCGGCTGTGACAGGGGTGCCCATGGCGGCGGCGGTAATGCGTTCGACGCGCCGGGTCAGCTCGGACGCGGCGCGGCGCGAGAATGTCATCAGCAGGATGCGGCGCGGATCGGCACCCGTGACCAGCAGATGGGCGACCCGGTGGGCGAGCATGGCCGTCTTGCCTGATCCGGCTCCGGCGATGACCAGCAGGGGCGGGGGTAGGGCCGGGCCCTTGGTTCCAAACACTGCCGCGGCACGTTGCTGATCGTTGAGCTTGTCGAGATACGGAGTCGCCATGTCGTCCTGCCCGTTTGTCCTGATAGCTCAGGTGACCCTAGCCATGCTGGAACGTAATGGAAACATCTACACCTGATCGCCAAGGAAAGTTCTTGCTTGCACATCACTTGGCTTCGTCAATTTGCTTTATTTACCGGAAGTCTCGCGTCTTCACCCGAACTGCGTCTATGTGAAGGTCAGGAATGTAGATATCACGGGGTTTAAGCTTGTTTGGTAGAGCGTCACGCGGAGCGTCCACTGCGGATGTGCGTGGATCCGATGCCGGGGCGCCATGATGGAATTCGTCGCCGCGACCATGGGGCAGGGGAAATGCCATCCCGCGCTGACCGATGCTAGCTAAGTCCGCAGAGAGGTCGGTCAGGCGATGGACCACAAGATGGACCACCTCGCCATCGCGCTGAACACGACCGGCGGCGGAGAGCATCCCGGCAGACAGGATAATGCGCCGGTGAGCGTCAAAGACCTTGGGCCAGACGACGAGGTTTGCAATGCCGGTTTCATCCTCCAGTGTGATGAACATGGTACCTTTGGCTGACCCGGGACGCTGACGAACGAGGACCAGCCCAGCAATCTCGTTCCAGCGACGGTTGGGGGCGGCCATGGCCTCGGCGCAAGTGCGGATCCGCCGGGTCTTCAAGCTGGTACGCAGGAACGACACAGGGTGGTGGCGCAGAGACAAGCCGACATGGCTATAGTCCTCCACCACCTCCCGACCGGCCGACATTGGGCGCAACGTAACGGCTGGCTCTAAATGAGGTGTTTCTGGGACGGCTTCAGTCTCGACACTATTCTTTCCGATGCGGTGTATTGGTTCGGGATTGTGTCTGACTGTACCAGGAGCGTCCTGCTTGATCGCAGCGAAAAGAGGCAAGTCGTCGTTGCGCAGTCCTTTGATGGCCCAGATCGCTTCTCGGCGTGCCAAGCCAAACGCCGGCAGCAAGCCGTCCGCCTCGGCTATGCGGGTCAAAGCCGCCATGGGCACCCCCGCGCGGCGGCAGAGATCGGGCACATCGGCGAAGGGCCGGCCGGCGCGGCTTGAGAGAATGGCCTCTGCGTGGCCCTCGGCCAACCCTTTGACCAGACGCAATCCAAGGCGAACGGCAAAGCGCCCGTCACCGTGGTCACCGATTGGTTCCAGAGTACAATCCCATTCGGATCCGTTGATGCAGACCGGGCGAACGTCGACTCCGTGATCGCATGCGTCGCGGACAATTTGGGCAGGGGCGTAGAAGCCCATAGGTTGACTGTTTAAAAGCGCGGCACAGAAGGCGTCGGGATGCCAGCACTTTAGCCAGGCTGAAGCATAGGCGATCAGAGCAAAGCTTGCCGCGTGGCTTTCAGGAAAGCCGTAGCTGCCGAAGCCCTCCAGTTGCCGAAAGGTCCTCTCGGCGAATTCGCGGTCATAGCCGCGCGCGGCCATGCCGTCGATCAGCTTGTCGCGAAACTTTGATACCCCACCTGTAAACTTAAAAGTGGCCATCGATTTGCGCAGCATGTCGGCCTCACCAGGGGTGAACCCAGCGCATTCTATGGCCACACGCATGGCCTGCTCCTGAAAAAGCGGCACGCCCAGGGTCTTGCCCAGGACCTTTTCCAATTCGGGAGTAGGATAGTGAACCGGCTCCAGCCCAGCCCTCCTGCGCAAGTAGGGGTGAACCATGTCGCCCTGGATCGGTCCGGGTCGTACAATAGCTACCTGCACCACCAGGTCGTAATAGGTGCGAGGCTTGAGGCGCGGGAGCATGGACATCTGCGCGCGACTTTCAATCTGGAATGTCCCCAATGTGTCGGCCTTGCGGATCATCGCATAGGTGCGCGGATCCTCGGCCGGGACGGTCGCTAGATTGTAATGCTCGCCCTTGTGTGCAGCGATCAGGTCAAGCCCCCGGCGCATGCATGTCAGCATGCCCAGCGCCAGGACGTCGACCTTCATGAACTTCAAGGTGTCGATGTCGTCCTTGTCCCATTCTATGATTTGACGATCAACCATGGCGGCGGGTTCGATAGGGACAAGATCATCCAGACGATCATGTGTCAGGACAAATCCGCCTGGGTGCTGGGACAGATGCCGCGGCGCGCCGCGAAGCTGCGATGCCAGATCAAGAGTCAGCCGCAACCGGCGATCGTCAGGGTTCAGGCCCAGCTCTTGAATCTGGGCATCGGTGATGCCGTCCTCGCCCCATGACCAAAGCTGACCGGAGATGGCCCGGATCAGATCTTCGGGCAGACCCAGGGCCTTGCCAACGTCACGCAGCGCACCCTTGGTGCGGTAGCGGATCACCACGGCGGTCAGCGCGGCATGACTGCGGCCATAGGTCTTGTAGACCCACTGGATGACCTCCTCACGACGCTCGTGCTCGAAGTCCACGTCGATATCGGGTGGTTCGCGACGCTCCTCGCTGATGAACCTTTCGAACAGCAGATCATTACGCCCCGGATCGATAGAGGTGATGCCCAGCACATAGCAGACTGCGGAATTGGCTGCCGACCCCCGGCCCTGACAGAGAATGCTGCGGGAACGGGCGAAGCGGACGATGCTATTCACGGTCAGGAAATAGGGGGCATATTTCAACCGGGCGATCAGATGCAGTTCATGCTGGAGGCTAGCAGTCACCTCTGCCGGTATACCCTCAGGGTAGCGCTCTGCAGCACCTTCCCATGTCAGGTCTTCCAGCGTCTGTTGAGGGGTCAATGTCGGGTCTTCGCGTTCCTCGGGATACTGATAGCGCAATTCGTCCAATGAAAAACTGCAACGTTTAACGATCTGCTGCGTCCGAGCAATCGCCTCCGGGTAGCGAGGGAACAGGCGCACCATCTCAGCCGGAGCCTTCAGATATCGGTCAGCATGGCGCTCCCGACGAAAGCCCAGGGCGTCGACAGTGGTGGTGTGTCGGATGGCGGTGACCACGTCCTGCAGGATGCGGCGATCAGGGATATGGAACAGAACGTCGTTGGTAATGACCGTGGCCACGCCCAGCCCCGCCGCCAGGGTCGACAGTTCGTGAAGCCGCATCTGATCGTTGGGGCGGCGGCGGATCGTAAGTGCCAGATACGCGCGGTCGCCAAAGCTGTCACGCAGACGG